ATGCAGATGAGAGAGGGGGATCTGTATGCCTGATTTTGGTCCATGCCACTCATCTGACCTACGAGACTAGATGAGTTTGACATCCCTGCTTTAGATCTGTGCTGCCTGACCCTTTCAGCCAATGGTCCAGGTCCATCTGCAGGCCAGATCCAATCTGCGGGCCAGATCTGGCATGTGCTCCTGGCCCAGCCAGGGCCCAGTGCAGCTGGATAGAAATAGCCTGATGGGATCCCAGTGCAGCGAGAGTTGCATCAGGCCCTGCTGCATAGGAATGAGACCTAGTCCCTTTCCTTAGGGCCAGTCCAGCTGTGTGGTGGGGCTTGGAAATTTGGCAGTGCGGGAGCAGTGGCAGTTAACATTGCCACTGGTCCTCCATCGCTAGATTTTTGGAACTGCAGGCTGGGGGCTGAGCACCCCTGCTCTAGATGAGTGTTGGAAGTAGTTGGGTTGGCTGAGCCCCAGCCGTGCGTGGTTCATCTTTGACCCTGGTTTTTTCCATGTCATACATATTAAGTTTAAAGAAATGACACAGCAAGTATAACTAGAGAGCTTCTAATCTTTGTGGACTGGCTGATCAGACCATCTAGCAGAGGGAAAGTGTGTTGGGGTTACAGGTCCCAAGTGTGATAAAGTAGTTGCTTCTTTTATCCCTTTGTTATACATAGAATCCAACTTGTTTCTCTAGTTATTCAAATGATTGCATAAGAAAACCAATCCTCAGGTATTACGTATCTACTTGTGTAGATGTCCCCATTTCACTGCTTGACTTGTGTTGTCCCTTCATTGTTGAACCTTACTGCAGACCTCCCTATCTTCCTGGAAGATGACACTTGCTTTATCTTCCAGTTGTGATCCGCAAGTGCGTTCAAACTCTTTGTTTATTATATTTCTGGCATGCCAATTGAGCTTGGCACTATCTTCCAGGAAGGAAAAGGGAAAGGGCGGGGGGAACTTGGTTAGAAGAAGAGACTGTTAATTTAAGGAAATTTGGATTCCCTGACATGCCTCTGAAAGTGGGGGGACCAGGCCAGGCACTCCTGGGGCTTCAGGGGCCTTATCTTGTATGTCCCAAGAATGGAAATAGGTCAGGCCCATGAAGCAGTAGGAGTGCTTGTTCAGGGCTGCTGGAAACCCTGGGCAGCTCCAGGCTACCCCCTCTCTTGCCATGAAGCAAGCAGACGTCTATTGCAAAAAAAATTGCATCAATTTATACCACCTACGTCACGGCCACAAATTTTGGACATCTGTGGTGCAACAAGGGCCATGAACATCTCTCTTCCTGGCCTTTGTGCTGCCATAAAAAATTGACAACAAAAAAGTGATGTCTGTTTCCAGCCTTAAAGATAAAGGGTAGATCAGTCAGAGCTTTCCCCTCCCACCTTTGAGAAAAGAGAGAATAAAGCCCACTGTGGAATCTCTGTAAACTGCGATGTCCATCATGGGAGGCAGTAGGGGGAAGGAGGACGAGGACTGCTGGAAGCTAAGGCCTGAGGCACAGAGGTTGAACCAAGGTTTTGCTAAAGCATTAGCAAGACAGTGTTGGGGTACAGGGCCTTTAGTTTATCTTGCAATGAGGCCTAACCAGCTCCAGTAGAGTGGCAGTGTGACCTTTTTTTGACTGTCATAGTCCTGACTTGTGATGACTGTGTGGTATATCAAACCCCATAGGTCTTTCTCAGTAATGCTACTGCCCAGTCAGTTATCTTACATTCTGTATTTGTGCTTTTGAATATTCTTCCCTAGGCATATCACCTTGCATTTATCTGCACTGAACTTCATTCTGTTGTCTGTAGCCTGGCCTTTCCAATATTTTCAGAGGCTTATGAATTCTACTCTATCTTCTAAAGTGCTTGCAGTCCTTCCTAGTTTATTGTAATCTACAAACTTGATCAGGAAGCTCTTTATTTCGGCATCCAGATCATTAATAAACATGTTCAATAGCACCAGGCTCCAGATAGACTCCTGTGGAACCCCACTGAAAACCACGTGCCATTTTGACATCAATCCACTTACAATTCCCTTTGCTTGTGGTTTATTGAGGTGTCCATAGAGTAGGTCATAGAAGAAACCACTAAACTAAATAGTGGCATATCATCTGGGCTGGATGGTATTCACTCAAAGGTACTGAAAAAAACTTTAAATTGTGGATATACTGTCTTCAGTGTGTTAACCTATTGTTAAAACAGCATCTGTATTAGAGGCTGGAAGGTAGCCAATGCAATGCCATGTTTTAGAACATTTCCAGAGGGGATCCAGAAAACTACAGACTGGTAAGCCAAACTTCTGCTCCTGGGAAATTGGTAAAAGCTCTGATAAACAGGATAATCTTGCATGGGTGAGCAGGACATGTTAGGGAAAAGTCAACACGACTTTTGTAAAAGGAGGTTATAGCTCACTTAACACACTCAAAGAACTCTACTAGATAACAAACCTGTGGATCAGGTTCATCCAGTTGATCTGGGCTTTCAAAATGCTTTTGACAAAGTCCTACACCAAAGGCTATTAGCCTTTCATAGAATTAGAGACCAGATCCACTCGTGGATCAGTGGCTAAAGGACAGAAAGCAAAGTGTGTAGGTTATAAATGGTAAATTCCTACTGTGAAGGAAGGTAAGCAGTGGGATCCTCCAAGAGCTAGTGCTGGAGCCTGTGCTATTCAACAATATTCATAAATCATTTAGAAAAAGGATGAATAGTGAAGTAGCCAGGCTTGCATATGACACCAGATTATTTAGGTGGTAAAGCCAAAACGGACTGTGAAGAACTGCATAACTCATAATATTGAGTGAATGGGCAACAAAATATCAGATAAAATTCTGTGCTGATAATTTCAAATTGAAGCACTTGGGGGGGTGGAATAATCCAAGATGCCCATACAGCAGGATGGACTATACTTATTACAATTCAGGAAAGAGACCTTGGAGTTATTTTACATAGTCCTTTGAAAACCCTGGCCCAATGCTCAGCAGTCCTCAAGAGTACAAATAGAATGTTAGCAATTATGAAGACAATTGAAAACAACACAAGAAATGTCATACTACTGTATTGATTCATAGTACCCATACCTTGAATACTGTGTGCGCATCTGTTCCCTGTACTTCCGGAAGAGTATCATAGACCTAAAAAGGATACAGGGAAGGACAACGAAGATGATTAGGGGCGTGGAGAGGCTTCCTTACAAGGAGAAACTAAATAGATTGGGGCTTTTCAGCTTAGAGAAAAGATGAACGAGGGGAGATATAGAGTCTCTAAAATAATAGTGTGGAGAAAGTGAATAGGAAACAATACCAGACCTAGAGGACACGCAAGAAAATTATTAGGAAGCAGTTTTATAAACTAATTAAAAGTTCTTTTTCACAGACTGTGTAATCAACTGGTGGAATTCCTTGCCACAAGAGGATGCAAGAGGCTATGACAATTTAACTACTTTCAAAAGAGAGTTAGATTCATACAGGATAGGTCCATTAGTGAGTATTAACCATTATAGTTATAGGTGCAAGCTCTAGATTAGAAATTTGCCTTACAGTCTCCAGTATTTGGAGGTCTAGGAAGAAAGGGAGGAGGACAAATCAGTCTGAATAGGCCCTGCATAAGTACTGTTCCACTTAATTTTTAAGTTAATTTACCACTCAGATGCAGAATAATGAGCTAGATTGTCCAACCCAATATGGCATCTCTTCTGTTCTTAACTACATAACGTCTTTGAGGCCTTGTATCCACTTCATAACAGTTATACTCGGGTTAACTGCAACTGTGTAGAAATAGTGATGGCGAAGCAGCTGCCGAAGGACTGCTGTTTTTCTGGAAAATGACTGACAAACTTCTGTTTCAGGATTTATAAACTGCCCCTTCCCCCATTTCAGGGTTTCTTATAGCACAGGGTTCAGCAACATTTTTTGGGCAGAGTGCCAAAAACACCTACAGCCTTGACTTGTAAGGTGTTGGCATGCCAGGGGCAGATGGCAGGGGAACCAGGAGGCTTGTTAGTTGTGGCAGCATAGCCCCGGCCTCTTCCCTGAGGAACATGTATCAAGCAAAATGCCTTTGCATGATGCACATGCCGGGGGTTGCCTGCCCCTGTTAATAGCAGCTCTGCAAAATTAGAAGAAACCGTGAAAATGCTGGGATCAGATTATGGTCAAAGCTGGACACTCATCAGCCCTGGATGGGGGACGGCTGTGTGTGTGGCACTGCAGATGCTGGATGGAAGTGGCGATTTGGCTTCTGCTCAGCAAGGTCAAAGCACACAGGGGCTGCCAGGTGCCAGCTTTGAACTTGCTGAGTATGGGGAGCCAGTCAGTTTCCCCCACCCAGCACTTGCACACCCCTAGACAGCCCTGGCTTGGTTTTGGCTGCCCTGTCTCAAAGCCAATTAATTGTTGGCATTGTGACCAAGGCAGCTCAGGGTCTTGAACTGTGCTAGGGCTGTTCTCCTCTTCATGCTGACAGTTAGCTGGTTGTCCACATGGGGCCTTGGGGCATGCCACATGTTCAGTTTAAGGTGTCATACAAACTAACCACAAAAGATGTTCTACATTTGAGGTGTAACATCTTTGTGGCTCGTTTGCCATTTTAATTATGCCATGTATTGCCTAAGCATATGCCATGTTGCCATTTGTCTCAGTTAACACATTAATTGTTCCATAAATATAACATCTGCCATGGGCTAAATGCTTATACTTGATTACCATGTATAGTAAACGTGTGTTTATTCATGAGAAATGGTTTCTTCAATTTACTTATAACAGGGATTATTAAATTTAAAAACAGAAACTGAAGCCTGTAATAAGTTTTAATGCCTGTCATCTCTGAAATCTAGAACTTCTGGACAGTAAGTTCTAATGTAATGTTTAATAATGTAGTAACATTATATAATATAGTATTCAGAAGCTTACATGTTCCTACCATTATGTTAATAGTTAAGAAAGAAGTTACTTTTATTTGTAGACCAAATTCTATATTTAACTGTTGTCTGTGTGTGTTTTTTTTTTATATATATAGGTGCATTGACATTCAACAGAGTAATGAAGTAGAGAGAACGCAAGCACTTCGTTTAGTCAGAAAGGTAATCTCTAACTATGCACTGTTCTGTCTCACCTTCTGTGTTGATAGACTCATCAGTCATGTTGGCTCCAGAAGTGCCCCATTAAATCGGGAGTGGAGGAGCTTGTTTTTGCTGTCTAAGAAAATGCAGATTGCCTCCTAGAAGGTTCTAGTCGGTCTGCAGCAGCTGGTCAAATAGAATTCTGATCTCGCTATGTGTGTTAGATATAGAGCTTTAGCTGCATTATCTAGCTCCTGCCAGATAAGTTGGCATTTATAGATCATTCACAGACTAAATAATTTATTCTGGCACGAAGTACTTTATGTTCCGGTGGGCTTGGCTGTTCTGTATACAGCTTCATTTCTAGCTAGCATCAGCTACCTTGAATGGACAAATAGATATCTAAGGAATCATCTGATGATTGGAAAAGTTCCCAGGATGGTATCTACAGGAGCACTGATTCTGTTATACTGCTCTGTTTTTCTTCTTTAGGGAGCCTGAAATTCTAACTCCAAAACTTCTAGTTCATCATTCTAAAGAAACTGTTAGATATATTCCAATGGTTATATTTAGAATGTGTTTTAAAGAAAAAAGTTCTTTGGTAGCACAGCCATAAATACAGAATTTTTCGTATCAAAGACTGAAGAAAAAGCCAACATTCTCTAGAACAGGGATGGCCAGCCCACAACACATAAGCCACAAGTGGCATGAGCAGCCTCTGTGTATGGCATGCAGAGATTGGACAGAGCAGAATGCAGAGCAGCAGTTTGCACAGGGGAGGGCACTCAGGAAAGGTGCAGGGTTTAGCTTGTCGCGTGCCTGCCAGAAAGGTTGGCCCCTGCTGCTCAAAGGTAATAAGTGATTTTCTGCTTCACTGGATTCTCTGACAACAAGTAAAAAAAAAAAAAAAAAATCACAGCTCCTAAATATTCCTTGCCAATTCAGTTAAAAGCAGGCTGTCTTTATTATAGATTAAGCACAGTATGTATTTAGTGCAAGGCATGGAATTGGCAGAGGTGTGCAGTGCTGTTGGATTGGCTTGTTTTATCCTCCTGCTCTTGGCCTTCACTGCAGAAATTTGATAGTTGATGGAAGGATTCCTTGCTTTGAGCTTCAAAGGAATATGGGAAAAATAAGTTTTTGTCCTGGAAAAGATGCATTCAGAGCTAATTGACAAACAAATGGCTTTCATCACCACAACATTTACATAGTTACACAAGGATTCCCCCTCTAGTCCTGTGTTCAACTTCTTCAGACAGCTGGTGAACAAAACATGGACACCAGCACCGGTGAAACCCAGAAAAGGGGCCACTTCATCTCCCTTTCATAACAAAGCAGCTGTTATCAGTGGCCTGTGCAATACCAGTGGGTGGAACATGAACCTGAACAAAATGGAGGTTATGCAGACAAAAATACCCTAAGGAATGTATAACCATTGTGAAGTTTGCTTATGCAGAACATACACTGACTTGCCATTGTAAGTCAGTTCCAAGTTTAGGACTGTTGTTAAATATCTCTTTTTCATGCTAAGACTTCTGTGGCAACGTTGGTGAATTATGCTTCCCAGCGGCTCTTATTCGGATACTGTCCCATCTTGGCAAGGAATAGTTTGACTTCAGAAAAAAATACTTTTGTCACATTCTGCATGGACCACAGCAATACAGTATGCCTGAGCAGCAGCAGACAGCCCATAAAAGACTCTCCCTAGTAAAGAACAGTGCAGCACATCCTAGCAGTATGTCCTCTGTCCTGTGTTTGTCATGCTGGCTCCCCATAGTGAGATTCAAAGGCCAGGAAGAAAAATGTTCGTGCCCCTTGTTGCACCACAGATGTCCAAAATTTGTGGCCATGACTTACGTGGTATAAATTGATGCCATTTTTTTGCAGCAGATGTCTGTTTGCTTCATGGCAAGAGAGGTAGCCTGGAGCTGCCCAGGGTTTCCAGCAGCCCTGAGCAAGCACTCCTACTGCTTCATGGGCCCCTGAAGCCCCAGGAGTGCCTGGCCAGGTCCCCCCACTTGCAGAGGCATGCCAGGGAATCCATCTAGGGGCACATCTCTGCAGATGGCCAAACCTGGGGTTTTCCCATTTACAAAAAAGTGCCCTGAGCATTGTCAGTATTGGGCCCCAGATGCTGCTGTCCCTATATAGCCTAAGAGATGTATGTGTATGTAAACTAGCATGAAAAAAATGCCAAATTGAGTTGACATTCATAGTAATAAAATAGTTGAAATTTGAATATTTAGTAGAAGTTGTTTCTGTACTTCTAGAAGGCATGTATGTATTTCCACAAGGTAATATTCAGAAAACAGAATGGAAGAGAAAAGAAAAAAATACACTCTCTTTTTTCCTTCTGAAAACAAAAAATCTTGAAACTCAACACATCCTTAATTGTAGGTCAGTTGCTTGCATGTGACATGTTACTGTTCAGCCTGTTGCTACAAGAAAGATTACATTTTTATTAAGGGGTTTACGACATGCATGCACACATGCTCTTGCTCTTAGTAATTCTTGTTGTTTAGTATCATTATAGAAATGAAAGACTTACTGTGTATGTGGGTGGGGGAAGGGTTTAGGTTTTTCTCTAAAGTCCGGTCTGAAAGAGCTTCCTGTTTTGTGGCTAACAACAATACAATATGGCAAGCAGTAGTTTCTCATAAACATGTTTACAAAAAGAAACTGGTTTAGTGGGCTTGAATTTATTTATGTAATAATGTTGGGCTCTTCGTTTAATAATGACCTGCAAATAATAGCCAAATTCTGCTTGTTCCTTTTTTGGCTGATTTGCATGATTATATGAGGAATGTCTAGAAAGTATATACAAAAGAAACATTTTTACTTCTCTCACCTAAAGTCTCCGGCTGTAAATCAGGAGTCAGCAATGTTTTTGGACCGAGTGCCGAAAACACGTGCAAACTCAGCTCGTAAGATGTTGGCATGCCGGTCTGATAGTAGGGGAGCTGCAGCGGTCCCAATCCTTGTGGCAGTGCAGCTCCAGGTCCTTCCTTGCCTTCCGCCCCAAGGTGTGCGTGCCAAGCAAAATGCCTTCGCATGCTGCACTCTGGCACCCATACCGGGGTTGCCTACCCCTGCTGTAAATAGATGTCTCGTCTGTCATGGGTCTGATTTGTCCCAGGGTTTGACCCAGATCAAAACAGATGCAACACGGTCATGTATACTGTACATGTTGCCTTTCCAAGCTTCATTGTTGCTTCTTGCTGGCTTGTCTGGGCAGCTAAATAACCTTACAGATGCACAAAAACATTAGCATAGTTTATCTTGCATACTGTGAAATCTAACCATAAGTTTATAGGAATACCTTTAACAGGAGATGACTCAAATCAGCATAATTTAAGTTTTCTTTAAATAGGATACTGGATCCAAAATAACCAGGATTAGGGATTAAGCAAGATGAATAACAGCCTCCTCCACATTTTGCTTCTCTTACTACTTCCTTAGGCACACTAAATGGCATCTGTGGATTAGCCTAAAATGTGCAGTAACTTGCATAACGTTATAGCCTCTAGAGAAATTTTTTCTGCATTGATTACTACTAGTTCAGTTGGAGATTTATTTTAAGGTTCTTATGCATAGTTAATTTAAAGCTTCAGAAGCTAAATCCTTCCTCTGAGCCTGCTTCTTGCTCTGTTCCTGACTCTGCCATCTCTTTCCAGAGCTACTAAGAGCCTGGGCTAAGTTTATCTTCCATGGAGAGACTCTTAGTTGTGAGATTTGCAAACCCGGCAGAACAGGATCTGTAGCATATATCTTTCTGTTAGTCTAAAATTTTTATGTAAGGAGTACCTGTGGTTGTGTATCCAGATTTGTCTGAAGATGACTTCTGCCATGTTCCATGGATATAAGCTGTATTCCTTTTCTCTGAGGACTTTAAATGCTGTGTACTTATGGTAATGGGGTGTAGATATTGCAATGATAGGCAGCATAGAAATAGGAGTAGTAATAAATTAGCAGCTTCATTTGCCTAAGATATTTAATGCAAGCAAACAAGATGTGTCATTTAGAAGAGGTGTAGGAAACATTTTCTGGCTGTGGGCTGGAATGACCTACTGCAGGACAGAGGTGGGCAGGTAGGTGGGTAATAGGACCCTACTGTCACTGCTGCTTGTTTTCCTGGAGGCATGGGGAGAGTACCTGCAGAAGGCAACCCCCACCACCATATGACACAAAAGTCCTGTGTCCTCCCAGAGGTTTCTGACCTCTAGTTTAGAAGGTCATAACAATTACAATGCTTATTTATGGCTTATTCTGCTTTTCCCTTGGTTTTGTAATATAATCAGATTTTAAAGGAAAGTAAAACATCTTTATGTTGAAAAGGTAGTTTAACCATTTTCCTGCCATATGTCTTAAACTAACAGCAGGTGTTGAGAGACTTTCTAAACTCTTGCCAGCTTTTTTTTAACCCGTGATACTGTGTTACACCCTAAGCATGATGCCTGGACAGTCGCCTGAGAGACGCTTCATTGCAAAGTATATCCTAAAGGACGAAGGGTTCAGAATAGTGTTTCAGTAACAAGGCAGTGTGGTATGCACAGTAAAGCCCCATGTATTAATTGGCATGTTAAAACTTAAGACAAAGTCTTACAGTTTATATAGCAGAGATTAATTACACTGCACGCTTTTGGGAAAGTGGTTTTCATACAATTGTTTAAGAGCCTAACCTGTCAGCTACATTTGTAAAACCCCACAAGTAATGCAGTTTCTTCTGCTTGTTCGACACCTTTTGTTCTCCATGTTGCAATGCAGTCCCTTCTGTGGGTTTGAAGAGCTCTGCAGAATGGGAGAGTTCACTTTAGTGCAACTTAACATCTGAGTAGCTGTTGAAATGGTTGCCTTGCAGACCCGAGTACTGGACAAAGGAAGAAAATTGTAAGCTGCTGCATGCTGTATTTCACGTTCTCTCTGTCATTAAGGTTTGACAGGGACTGTTGAAGGAGATCTGGGTAGGTGCTCTGTTCAGTCTGGAGCGGTCTCCCTTTAACACCAGTTATGGGGAAACTAAAAAACCAAGCAGGAAGGAGAAAGACAGAATACTATAATGGTAAGCCATGCAGTTCAGGAGCAAAAGGCAAGAGTATTAAAGATTTATTTGATACAAGGAGGTAATATATGTTGCAGTTAATTTGGCTTATCTCATAACAGGATGCTAGTGAGTATGTGTGAAGAAATGTAGTGATACACTGTGGAAGAAACTACTCATCTGGGTTTGTTTGTTTTTTGGCAGATGATCACTGTGAATGCTTCCTTGTTCCCTAGCTCCATAACTAATTCCTTGATAGCAGTTGGAAATGATGGCCTTCAGGAAAGAGACAGAATGGTTCGAGCTTGTATTGCCATTATTTGTGAACTAGGTGAGAATCTTAAAAGAATTAACAAATGTTATCAATTTATCTTATTTCTAAATGAGCCTTTCTCCTCAAGGATCTTATTAAACAGGAAAAATAACCAGATAAACAGGAAAAATAACTGTACACAAAGTGTTGTCAAACTTAAAAAGTAAACTACAAAATGTTTTCCATTAGTACTTGTGAGTTGCATATTTATTGATTTACAAAATACAGCAAAATGACAGATTTTCAGAATTTGTTTTTTTCCAGATGTTTTAGTGACTTTTTTTCTTCTGTATTAGCACTTCAGAATCCAGAGGTGGTGGCTCTTCGGGGAGGACTAAGTACCATCCTGAAAAATGTGATTGACTGTCAGTTAAGTCGAATAAATGAGGCTCTCATAACTACAGTTTTACACCTCATTAATCATCCAAAGACACGACAGTATGTGCGAGCAGATGTAGAATTAGAGGTAGTAACTTTGGTTTCTTTTCCAGTCTTAAAGTTGTTAAATTTGCTCTGGTCATTTTGATGTCCTGAAGCATTTGTAATGTGGCAGATGCAAGGTAGAGAATTATTTCAAAATAGAAAAGAAGTGGATTTTGGCTACAGTGTGTTTAGTTTATTGTACGGTGACAAATAGCTCCAATTTGTCTCCCCCGCCTGTTATCAGTTATTCCGTCTTTTATGAAAAGAACTATTCAGTCCAAATATAAAAGGAAAATGTTTTTAAAATGCTTTTTCGCACTACAAAATATGTGTGTATTCTGCATGAATCTACTGGTTTACATCTGTTCACAAGGAAGGGAAGGTATCTAGCTGTTTGTTATTCAGGCAAAAATTGATAAATACTTTGCTTGTATCATAAATTGCAACAGAATCAAGCATGGCATCATCAGTAAGTTTTTAAGCAAAGAGTGTTCAGGAAGATATTTCATGCTCAGGGGTGTAACTGTTCTGGCTTGAATACTGGGTGCTACTTGACATGATGCAACATGTAATGCTGCCCTCACTAGTAATTGATGATTGTCTATAATGGTTGGAAAACAAGCTACTTGGCTAATATTCTCCTGAAAATGGAGAAAGGTAGGCAAGTTTCAGTTTTGCTTATTTTACTGCGTATTAGACTGATATGGAAAATTTAACTGTAACATTATAATTTTCACTTTGAATTTTTTGCTGTTTTAAAAATCTGTTCTAAAATGTAACATTTTTAAAACTTGAAAATGGCTATTTCAATAGAATAAAAACATAATTGTGTTTAGAGCAGAAACATTAAAAACTTGAGGTGGGGGTGAGAAACAGATTGGCTCTTTACTCTTTCAAGAGAGTAAATGTGTATGTGTGTTTGTGTTTGTGTTTAGCGAATTTTAGCTCCATACACAGATTTCCACTACAGGCACAATCCAGACACAGCAGAAGGACAGCTTAAGTAAGTATATTGTGGTTTCTTGTGCTACAGATTGTTGTGAAGGTGTAGTATTAAAATCAAAACTTTTCCTCTTCAAAGTGACTTAAATATACTTTGGTTCTCAAAAGTAAAATCAAAGTAATCGTTTTCCAAATAGGAAGTAGAAGTGACAACATATTAAATTAATTGGAATTTAAATAGTAAAAACATATAAATATACTTCTTTTAAATTGTTTGTCACGACTTAAAAATAGTTATATATTTTGTTTAAAGTATGTGGTGTAAAAGAGAGCATTGTTTTTGTGGAACATGTCAGTCTTTCATGGGCAGAGGAAGCTGTGCAGTTTTGGACTGTCTCCATCCTGATGATAGTTGAACCAATCCTGACTGACAGATAAGGTCAGGACAGTATGCTAACCAAAGGAGAGGTCAGGGAAATGGCTTTTTCTTGCATGTACACAAGTATAAGGGGGTTGTGCTAATGGACACCTACAAACATTTTTAATAGCTGGTGTTCTGCATTTTAAAGATAGATGGAGGTAATTTTGTTTAATTAAATACAGATAGCCTTTACGCATTCAGCTAAAGGTACATTCCTGGCTAGCAAGGAAGGTTGTTCTTTAATTTTACAAGAATAGTGTTACAATTTAACACTAATCCTATAACCTTGCAAATCTCAAACTAAATTTTTCTTATATTCTGGATCTCATTCTTCAAAAAAGTCTCTAATGTTAGCAATGGGTAATAAAGCAAGTGCTGCTGTAGGCTTAATGGTAAGCTTACAACTAATGTGATGATTATTTTTATAACAGAGAAGACAGAGAAGCACGGTTCCTAGCTAGTAAAATGGGAATAGTGGCAACGTTTCGATCATGGGCTGGTAAGGTGCTTTTTTATTTATTCTTAATTTGGTGATAAGGAAAGGAGTTTTATGCTCAAAGTGAAAGAATTATTTACTGAAGCCCCAAATCTGTCCTTATTAGTCTTTTGCCTTGTGTTAATCAGTTCTTTGTGTACGGTAGGCCAATGAATGTCTTGTTGTCAAATCATAAGACAACATACAGCCTCCGGGATGGATCCAGCCTGCAAAGCACTTTCATCTGGCTCATGGTGCCCCCCAGCGAATTGCACCCTGCCTGGCCTTTCAGCCCTTGAGAGTGGGAGCCAAGCGCCCACATGTATACACAGCCCCAAATGTACCCTATTACACCTCGCTCCCACCCTTGTGGGCAGAAGGGCACAGCCCAGCCAGCTTGCAGCTGCTGCTGCAGCCTCTGGTGACCTGCTCTGCTTCCCCGGTGTCCTTCTGGCTCTGGGCAGCAGGTAGGAAAGCGATGGGGGAAGGACTGCAGCTGATTGGGAGCATGGGACTGGGGCTGGTAGCAGTGCGGAGCTTGTGCCCAGGGGGGCAGCAACAGCGGGAGCTAGGGTGGGCAACGTGTGGTTGTGAGAGAGGGTGGGGGCATGGGAACCCTCTTACACACTCCCCCGATGATGTGTAGCCCCGGCAGGCAGTGGCAGCAACAGCAAGTGGGTTACTCAGGGCACAGGTGCCTGATTCTGGCCAGTGTTGCATATTGCAGCGAGGAGTGCAGCCTCCACCAGGCTGTCTGTATCGCTGCTGCTCCCTGGTTCTCAGGTACAGCACCTGCACTTGTTGGGCATGGGAAGGAAGCCCCAGGTGGTGGAGCCGGCTGTCTTCCCCTCTGGGGCCTGCACCTTCCCCTGCGGGGTGGTTAAGGCAGCCGGTTCCAGTGCCTGGGGCTTTCCTTCTGTGCCCAGTGACTGCAGGGGCTGCGCGCGAGTGCCAGGGAGCACTGGCAATACAGACAGCCCCATAGAGGCTGTGCTCCTCATTGCAATGTGTAGTGCTGGTTGGAGCCATGCCCCACTGGACATCTGCACCCTGAGCACCCTACCTGTTGCTGCTGCGCCATGGGAAGTGTAGCGGGGTTCCCACATACCACCATCCTCACTCATACCCCACAAAACCCACATACCCACACCCTGCCCCTAAATCCCCCCACATATAAACAACCCCCCAACATAGCCTATGCCCCCTCACACGCACAGCCCCACCCCCTCAACCCTGCCACGCACCTCCCCACGCCCTACCATACACACACACTCACCCCCCCACACCATCTCACACTCACACACACACACCCTGCCCCCAGAACCCCCCACATATACACAACCCCCCAACATAGCCTATGCCCCCTCACACGCACAGCCCCACCCCCTCAACCCTGCCACGCACCTCCCCACGCCCTACCATACACACACACTCACCCCCCCACACCATCTCACACACACACACACACACACACACCCTGCCCCCAGAACCCCCCACATATACACAACCCCCCAACATAGCTTATGTCCTCCACATAGCCCCACACCCTACCATATATGCACCCCCACACCCCACCACACACACCATCACATACACCCCCACCATACTCACACACACCCACCCACACACAGTATACAAAACTAAGAATTTATTTTTGAGTTATTATGCAAATATCTCTATATACAGTATGCAAACACAATCATGAAAAATATTTTTCATAATAAAATTAAAATATGTTATAGTAGATGTTTGACTTTTAGTGTATGATTTATTTTTCTGGTTCTAAGATGTCAACCTCCCTCCCCTCCCCAAAGGAGTATTTCCAAGGGTTAAGGGGAGGGACTTCTGACAGCAAAGGTCAGGGGTTAGGGGACGGGACTACCAGTCCCAAGATGGCAACAATGGAGCGGGGCAGCTGTCAGAGGATGGGGCTACCTATGCAGCCCTTGACAGCTCACCAAAACTCATTAAGCAGACCTCCACCCAAAATAATTGCCTGTCCCTATCATAAGGGGTTTCTGTGTTGCATCTTCTGATTGGCTTTCCTGACCAGAAGATGATTCTTTTAGTCGCCAGTAGGGGAATCCTATATCAGATACTAATTTACCTTATTTGAAATTCATGACATATTCTGGATTTAAATGAAGTTGGATGTATTTTTTTTCTGTCTTTGAAATTTGTTCTAAGCTCTGTTAGGATGAAAAATAGCTTTGTCTGTCTATACTAGGAATTTATACATGTGTACCCTAACTTCACCAGTGGCTGCTGGCCACTGAATGCAGTCTCCCATATAGACGCTGCTTGAATCTTGATGTAGAAAGTACTTCTCAGTTGACAAGGCAGTGCCTTCTCTGTCCTTTTTTGTAGGGCTCCAGAATAAAAATAGAAACACAGTTGTTGCTTGAGTCATCTCACACCTAAATGAGACATTAGACCAGTTGAAATGAAATGAAATGAGAAGTCAGGTTTGTCTGACCTCCTACCAAAATCTTACTCTTTAATGCTAGTTAACCATAATGTGGAAATGTTTAGACTGAAGAGTGAATTCTCTTGATGGATAGCACAGTATCTCAAATTTAATAGTAAGATTTAATTTGGTATTCAGATATCCTTCAAGAACTATGCATAGGCACCCCTACTTACAAAAATCGCATTCAAATTTGGAAACTTCCAACATTTCCATACCTACTCACCTGAGACTAAAGTTTCTTCAGAAGAAAAAAGGAATAATGGGCTTGAAATATGCTACTTTCCTTGACATTTCTTCTATTTTCCCTTTCTTTGCCTTTCTTGTTTTTAAGCCATTCACTTAATTTTAGAAGTTAACTTTTAAAAGATTTTTAAAGAGGGATGCAAGCTAACTTTATTCTTCCTTTTTTGTGTTCACAACTATCAGACATGTAGAGGATACTCTTCCTCAGTTTTACCATAGGTTACTTAGGATTTATCAGGGATGCATATTATAAGCTCCAACATAAACGTGTAGAAGATAAAGGCTTTCTCTGTCCAAGACCCAAGTTTCTTAAGTATGTGTTAGCAAAAGTAAAAAAAAAAAAAAAAAAAAGAATTTTAAGAAGTCTGTCTAAAAACCCA